ACCTTACCCCTTCCCACAGCCTGTGTCCCCAGCTGGAGCCCTCACACCCCTGCGCCCCAGCCCTCAGACCCAGACCTGAGCCCCCTCCCACACTCAGAACCATCTTGTCCCACCCATATGAATCCAGTGCTGGCCCGAGCCATGGGGGGGCACCTGATTGAAGAGGTAAGAGGATTGAAGAGGAGCCAGTCACATCAGAACTTAAGGTTAAAAAAATAAACGTGTCCCTGATGGAAGCTGATTTACTGTCCACTAGAAGATTCACCTGGTGTCGGTCGGGTCTTTAACTCCATTAATTTTTTGGAGGGAAAATAAAGGTGTCCGTGCTTCATTTCAATCACTGCTCTGGGGTGGGGATCAGGGTGAGGGGTTCAGTTTGCAGGCTGCCCCAGGGAGAGAGGACAGCCCCAGCCCTCTCTCACCACCGCAGCGTGGGGCCAGGCGAGAAGCCCCTCTCCATGGCCGCTGCAACATTGCTTTCATTAGCTCAGTGTTTAGTTCATGCAGCGGGACTCAGAGCGTGGTCTGTGGATGATGAGTGCTCTGCGATCGGAGGAAAGCAGCAAACTGCATCTTCCCCTCACTCCCTGACAGCCAGCAATGCCCCCATCTGAATGGTGTGGGATGGGGGAGGAAGAGCTTCACAGATACTCCACCTGAGGGGTGGGGTCTTGGGACTGGGGCAGTCCTGGGGAGGGAGTGGGGGCTGGGGGCACCTCTCCAGCCAGCCCCCCCCCACATTCCTGGTGATTCTCTTCTCTTCATGGTTTGATGAGACACAATCCCAGTCCAGGCACATCCCAGTGTCCTGGCGCAACCAAGCCCTGACCCTGCTGGGAGTTAATATCAGAGGAAGCTGCAGAGTGAATGTGGTGGTCTCGCGCTTCCCCTTTGGGAGCAGCCTTGAGCCGACAAACGCTTTGAAACAGATACTTGTTAGTGGTATAATATAAAAATATTGTCCCCTCCTGCACAGAACTGCACATTATCTGTGCATCTAAATTCCTATTGTGTCTCTATTCAGCAAGTGTCTCTCACCAGCCCATCAATTCCCCACACACTGAAGCCGCTTGGCACAACCCCATGGACAGGACCAGACCACCTCATCCAGGTCACAGCTTCTTCGCTCCGCCTTCTGGTTTCTAGGCTGGTTTGCTGCAGATCCAGCATTGACGGTTCGGGAAGCCTGAACTGGGGACGTTGTTGCGGCTCAGAAAAGGATCCTTTGACCACTGGATCGGCCTATGGAGGGAATGTGGCCCGGCCAGGAAATGGGCTAATGGCACCGACTTCAACCACTGATGAGTCCCCTTTTCTTCCATTAATTCAATAAATGTTTCAGTTTATGATGAGACTGGCCTTGTGGTTACAACCTTGGCCCGTAATTTGTGCAATGGGGATTCAGTGCCTGGGTGCTCCGTACAGATCTGCAGTGTGACCCAGGGTGACTTGCTTGGGCTGGATTTTCACTGCTAGGAAGCTGTTCCAGCAACTGTGGAGGGTTGTTCATGGTTTGTTGCTGTTGCAGGTTTCCAGCCGCAGGAGAAGAACAAGGCGCTTTTCTGAGCCGCAACAGGAAATCCTTTGTTCACAACATAAAAGCCAATATACATCAGACAGCAGCCTCTCTGGGTTCTCTGCAACCTACCTGGGGCGCTGGGCAGGGGTCCAGGTGCTGGGAATTTTTCACCAAGAAATGACACCCAAATGCAGTGGGAAGTCTGCACGTTGCCCCAGTCCAGGATAGGAACAACTGTCAAACGATCAAACGAACACAACTGCAGTGTGGCCATAAGTGTAGTTTTTCCAATTTTTCACCAAGAAATGACACCCAAATGCAGTGGGAAGTCTGCACGTTGCCCCAGTCCAGGATAGGAACAACTGTCAAACGATCAAACGAACACAACTGCAGTGTGGCCATAAGTGTAGTTTTTCCGGAAAAACCCTGCTGTGTAGACACACCCTGGGGCTGCTGGAATGGGTGGGCTTTATTCATACCTCTGTGATGGGTCCCAAACCTGTAAATGAAGTTAAGTTCCAAGATATGAATAAAAACATAACCTGGCTAGTACACTACCTTCTATATCCTAATGATTCAAAAAACCAAACAATGGTTACTTAAGAACAATTTGCACATTCTCTATCAGCTTCTCTAATTGACTTGTTTTTCCCCTTTTTCCCTTCCTTCACCCCTCCCTCCCATCTCCTATATATTTTGGAATTGGATTTTTAATACTGCATTCATCTGAAGAAGTAGGTTATGCCCTCAAAAGCTCATGATACCAACATGTAAAGCAACTCTCAGAGGGTACGTCTACACTACAGCGCTAGTTCGAACTAACTTAGTTCGAATTAGTTAATTCGAACTAAGCTAATTCGAACTAACGCGTCTAGAACTAAAAACTAGTTCGAATTAAAAAGCGTTTTGCTAATTCGAACTAGCAAGTCCACATTGAGTGGACTCTGAACAGGGCTTAAGGATGGCCGGAAGCAGTGCCGGCAGGGCATCAGAGGAGGACTTAGAGCATGGAGATGCTGTCTCAGGCTAGCCGAGGGCTGCGCTTAAAGGGTCCCGACCCCCACCCCGGACACACAGTTCTAAGGGGTGCCCCGCTTGCAAAGAAGTTCTGGCTTGGAGTGCCCTGAGTGCCCACACTGGGCACATCACACCACTCGGCCATCAGCCCGGCTGCACTTGCCGCAGGCTGCCATCTGGGGAGAGGGAGTAATTGGGGGGCTGCAGGAGAGCTTCCACCCCCAGAAGCCCGCAGAGCCAGCCCAGTCCTCCCCATCGGGGGCTCGTACCCCATTCCTCCCTCACCTCCTTCCACTTACCCCTCCCTAGCCCCCCTTC